AAATTAGATATTCAATTTTTCTAAATTTTGATGTCTTTTTCTGTTTTATAAAATATCAAAAATTATGTGATATCAAACCGACCTGTGTTCACAGAAGAATTTCTTTTATATCTTTCTGTCTAAAATTAGACATAGGATTGAGGCAAGCAGATCACCTTTCTATGGTGACTTGTTGACATAGGCTACTGCTTCTGATGCTTCTCTAAGTGTTTATGAAGAAATGCTATGAGAAATTACTTAGATCGAAACTATCGCTATGTCCTTGCAACCTGAGAATCTTGATCTTATGAGACCAGCCCTAGACTAAGCAGCACTTTAAAAAACTGAAAAAGACCTTGCTATGTATTTCCCCTCATTCTTCTTTTGACAATATTCAGATTTACAGAAAAGCTGAAAGAATAGTCCAATGAATACTTTTTATTGATCTATTGTCACATTTACTAGTTCTCTCTGTTTTTATTGAAACAATTGGAAGTAAGTGCATACATCATAAATTTCTTTAGCTTGCATCTCCTAAGAATAAGGACACTTTCCTACATAAACATACCATTATCACACCTTTAAAAATTAACAATAATTTTCTGTCATCTAATACACTATTCATGTTCAGATTTTCCTAATCGTCTCAAAAATGTCTTTTTAGCTTTCAGAAAAAATCAATCCAGTATCCAATCAAGGTTCTTGAATTTGTTATGTCTCTTTTGTCTTTTATTTGTCTTTTTTTTTTTGGTGGTTGGCTGGTTCTGTGACTTTGGTTTTATGAGGCTGTGCTGTAACCAGCTGAGCTACTAGACCAGCCTCTCTTTTGTCTTTTAAAATCTAGAATAGTCGCCCTTTTGGGATGTGTATGTTTTATGACACTGATCTTTTTGAAGAATCTAGAACAGTTATTTTGTAGAATGCCCCATAATCAGGATTTGTCTAATTGTTTCCTCATGTGCTTTTAATTTATTTTTTATTTTTGTAAATGTTTGGAAATATATATAAAGAAATGTGCATAAATGATAAGTGTGTGCGTTTGTGAAAGTTTACTCTCTAGCCTCTGGGATTCTAAAAGTCTGGCTATTGTATAAACCCTTATCTCTGCACTTGTTTTTCCATTAACTTTAGATAATGCCTAATGCCAAGACAATTAATTTCCTGGCACTTTCTTCCAGATCAGGGTGCTAAGGCTGGGCAACATCCAATTTAGGCAGTTCCATTGTACTTATCTCAGATCCCCCACCGGGGTTTCTATTAAAGAAGTTATTGTTCAGTCAGTTCCCCTTCTAAAAATATTGCATTATGTAATTATCCTGGCTTTAGGAGGTTTGGGTTGTTTTTATACCATGTGAATGAATTGGCAATTAGGATAGTCAGTTTAAAGCCTTTGGTGATCTAATTCAATTGTTAAAACTTTTTTAATAACTGGGTAGTAGAAAACACAGTACAGGGTTTTTGTTTTTTGTTTTGTTTTTTCCCCCACAATCTGGTGTTTTTTGGGTTGTAGAGCTTCAACATCAGTCTAGAGATGGTTCATGGTCCTTTATAAAAAAGAGGCCAAATGTTAAAAATATGATCCAGGCCAACTTTATCTTTACTACCCTGATTACCCTTTCCCCTCTTTGGTATGCTTACTCTAGCTCTTTCCTGTTTCTCTTGTTCTCAACATACATGCCAAGTGGTGATGACAAATGATGGTGTGAATTGGGGTCTTAACCTGGGGTCAATGGGTCAGTGAGTCCCATACAATTATATGCAGAGTTTGCGTGTATTTGTTTATGTACTTTGTTCTGGAGAGAGGTTTCTATAGATTTCATTAACTTTTCAGGGGTGTCCATGAGCCCAAAATGGTATAGTTATTTTTCATAGAGTCTTTGATATTTTTTATGACCCTTGACATATTATCTTTTTCTTTTTGATAATATTTTTGTGTATTTGTGTTGCATTAAAAAATTAGGAGGAATAAAATTAAATCTATTTATAATGTTAGTCGTTACCCAGAAATAACCACCATTTACATATTGGTAAGAGTCTGTCTGTCTATCTGTCTATCTACCTACGTAGCTAGCTATGTGTTTGTCTATCCATTTACATATAAACACACATGTACACACATAGATATTTTAAGGAGTCATTCTATATGAATTCTTTCCTCTTTGCTAAATGGAGATTGAGTACATTTTTAATTGCTGCAGACCAGCCATGGTATGGATATACTATAATTTATTTAACCAGTCCCCTACTGATGGACATAGATATTTGTATCTTAACATGAATCAAACCTATGGCAACAAGAGTAGAACAATAGATAGGAACCAGGGGCTTTTGCTGGTCACAGGAGCCCTCTTCCTTTGTCCTACCCTTCCAAGCCTTACATCAAAGGTTAGGCTCTGGACTTTGGGTCAGAGAACATGTTTGTTTTTCCCAAAACAAACAAAAGAGAACCGCACTCTTGCACTTTTTCCTCTAACCCCTAAGATAGTGACATGATTTGGCAAATCATTTCAAATCAATAAAGAATATAGTTTTATAGGATTGATTCACTTTAAAGCAGTTTTATTTGAATTCATTATCAATTTTCAGGGCTCAAATAGGCCTAATTTTGTATAGTTTACCTTATATTAAAAAAAGGTTTATGAAAAATTTTGTGGAAAAAAATGTAATGCTTTAATTGTTAAAATGCTTGAATCATGCCGGGAGAGACTTTGCCGTATATAATTTCCATATGATTTCTCTCAGTTTGAGTGTGTATATATGTGTGCCTGTGTGTGGAGTGTGTGTTTTCCTATGATATATTGCTGAAAGAGGTGTTGCTGATTGTCTTTTCTTTCTTCTCTCTCTTATCTGTTTACCAATGACAATACCAGATTAGAGGCTGCACCAGTCAACACCCTTGGGTCTAGGGCAGTAACTGTTCCCATCTGGCTACATGTGATTAATGGTGTTTATGTCATGGCATAAATTACATTTTGTTGTTCAATCAGCTGAGACTCTGGTCATTAAAAAAATTTACTCTGTAAAAACCAATAATCAGTGGTTTTGGAAGGAAGAAGTTCTTTAACAGTTATTCCCCAAGTCTGTGTGTAAAGATAAACAATCAAATTACCATACTCACGAAAATAGTGCAGGAAGCAAGAAATATAATCTCATAGATAAAGAATGACCTTAAATAAGGACAGGTAGGAAGCCATTTTAAGGGAGACAGAAAGCAACCAAAGAAATCCAATACCCTTTTTAAAGTCTATAAGAATGTCACCCTTTTACACAGAGCCAGCCAGTAACAAAACCTCAGAGAGCTCAAGATGAATTCTCAGCAAAGCAGGGAAAATAAATTGGGTTGATAATGGCATACTGTGACTGACTTAATGCCACTCAAAACTCTCTATGGACTGTAGCTACAATACAGAAAATCAATTTTATTTACTTATTTGCCTCAAGTTTGCCTAATACCTTACTGTCACTAAGAAAATATACAAAACCCAAATAAATAAATAAAATTAGCCAAAGCAATGAAATTTCAAATAGAATAAAATGGAAGACTGCTTTTTTTTTTTGGAAAGAATAGAGCTAGAGATAAATCTTACATGCTTCACTTTGCCGGCAATATCGTGTGAACTGTTGAAGTGATGATGTTGACCATGTGTAGCCACGTGCCCGAATAGACTGAGGTAAGCCCAGTCATCCTGATTCAATTGCAGTTGATTTCATGTACCTTGGGTGAGTGCTTTGGGATGTTGCTCAGCAGCCTGTTCGTGCAGCAGTTGCTTTTGTGAGCAGCCCAGTGTTTTGGCTCAAATTGGAGCACGCTTCACTGATTACTGCCTGTAACTTGCTTCTTAGGAATCTGTGGCTGCAACTTAACATTTCAGGAATTCAAGTTATACCTGTTTTGCATCTTTGCCCGTAGCCTCAGCAAGGTGGAATTGTCAGTGAGAAAGTGAAAACTTCCCTTTGAAACTTTATTTTATTTATAACCCTGTTCATAGCACAGATGGCCAGCATCCTTGTTTTGTTAGTAAGCCAGTGGCTCTCTAAATCATTACACATATAACTCAAGAAAGAATGAAGGAATAATGTCTTGTGCCTTTTCCCTCTGTGGAAGATTTAACCCTTTTACACGAGATATGACCCTGCAGATTTGCTCCTGCTAGATGAAGGGAGCACTGGCCTTCAGGCGAAGTGCTTTGGTAAAAGCATCATGTTTCTCATTTCACTGTGTAATGACTGGAAGTTGGGAAGAGCTCTGTTTCCTGTCATGGCACTGCATCATTCTCATTTACATTATTGGCAGCTGTTACTTTGCTAGAAGTTTAAATGATCTCAAGAACTCTAAACTGAGTTCAGATGTTTGTTTATTGGCGCTGCCTTGAGCTTCTGAAAACAGTCTTTTGTGTGCTCCTAGTCTTAAGAAAAGGCTGTTCTCAGAATTGCCCTTCCTCCCTCCTTGCTCTTTGCTGGGAAACTGCTTTAGTCTAATGAAGAAAATTAAATAACGAGGACAAGGGGCTTGAAACTGGTCAGAAAGGGGTCTCCAGTGGTGAGGCGACTTGAAACGGAAAGGAGTTGGGACCCAACATCCTGCATTTGTGCTTTGTTTTTGAAACTTCAAGTTAGTTGCATTAATGAATTAACCAGCAGTCTAGTAATGGAAAATGTTTCTCCTGTCCTGGTGGGGGAGCCAAATACTATAGATTTGTAACAGGAAGACTGTTGATTCTGGCTTCATTGTTGGGCCAGTCATTTGTGAGCTGGTGGTCGGACCGCAGGCCACACACTCCCTCTGTGCAAATCTTCATGTATTGGAACTGCCTGGGTATTGTTTCTACTATCCGAGACGTGGCCAAGAAAACATGGTGAGCCCTGGGTTTTATTTTTTTTATGTGTGTATATCCCCTCAGCTTTGAGGATGGTGCAAGATGCCAGACCCAGTTTGGGGGCGAGGAGGGGTTTCTGTTTAAATCGATGAACATATGTGAGTATTTTGCTGTTAATGCTTTTTTCTGTGTCATCCTCTGTAGAGTTCCGGCAATGCGTCCTATCGCTGCTCTATGTCTTCCTCTGCGGATTTTTCCGATGAGGATGATTTCAGCCAGAAATCTGGCTCGGCATCTCCAGCTCCGGGAGACACCTTACCCTGGAATTTGCCCAAACATGAGAGATCGAAAAGAAAGATTCAAGGGGGCTCGGTGCTGGACCCTGCCGAGAGGGCAGTGCTTAGGATAGCAGGTAAGAGCATCCGGGAAAGAGGATGGAGCCGGGGATGAGAGTCGTGGAAATGCACCCATCTGCTCCCCGGGGGCCATATCTGGGAGCCCATGCACTGGGCAGAGATTTGTGATCAAGGTGGGGGAGGAGGGTGACTGTGTTTACTTTATGCCTCCTTTTACCGATGGAGCGATTTGCCTTGCCTCCTGGTGACTAAGCTGTTTGGCTCTCCTTCTGGTTGTATGAATCGATACCTTTGAAATGCAAGGAAATATTCACATTCACAGACATCTGCATTAAACTTTTCTATTTATGTATAGTAGCCACCGGCAACCTGAAGGTGTTAACTCCAGTAATTCCGAATGTTTTTGCTGGGAGCTGCCGGAGAGCAGCCTTCATTTTCATTTTTGCTTGGGGGGCACTGAGCTATGCAGATTTAACTCAAGTAGATTCATGGTTTTTGGTACCCAGGGTTACAGAGCATATTCCAGCAACTTGGATGTCATTCCTTTTTAATGTAGCATTTCTGCCAGCTTTGTATGTCTACAGCATCTTTCTGTCCCTAGTGCTTTTGAGGGTTTAGCTATAATGTATTCCTGATTATTTAATATATGGGAGGTGCCAGTGTTTCTGTTCAGCGTTATCTGGTGTTCCCTTGCATTGGCCGTAAAAGCTGATCCAGAAGTGATGGCTTGTTTTACCCAGCTGAAAGTCGAGAACACTGGAAATCAACCTTCTGGCCCTGCAGTGCCTGTGTGCTTTGCGTGTGTGTGTTCTGTGCATGAGAATTGCTTCCAGGGGTGGTGGTGCCACCATTCTCTCCATAATTTTTTTTCCTCTTGGAAATGGTAACAGGGCAGGATGATGTATGTCCTTGGGGACTCTCTTGCAAAGGCCAAAGGCCAGGTGTTTTTGAGTTGGTTTCTGCAGCCTCCTTTCTTCCCTCCCCCTTCTCTTAACTCTGGGGGTCTCCTCCCACAGTTTCTTCTGCCTCCCACTATAATGCAAAGTTGGTACTTCTCTTCCTCCATGGGGGCCAGAGGGGACCAGCCCAGATTCCAGCCACCAAAGCAGCCAAGATCCCCCCTAGAGTCCCCCCAATGGGATTTTCTGATTACAGAAAAAACAAACAGTACATAGCCAGCCCTTCTCTAGTCAGGGTTTCTGGGGCAACAGCCCTGAGCTTCTTCTGGCTTGTGTTGTGAGATGCTGGCTGGCCTCACTCAGGCTTTTGAAGAGGAGGGGTGGAGCAGGAAAGGGGAGGAGGAGGGGGGATGGGGACTGCTTGGGAGCCAAGTGAGAGTGAGCAGGGGTGACCTGGGGGGGTTGCTCCTCAAGTACCAGAAATTGTTTAGTCACTGAGTCCTGCCTCCTTGCCCTCCTGAGAACCCTCCTGCAGCTCTGAGGCTCAATGGAGAGGAGGAGACACTGCTTGTACCAGATGCTTGGCTCAGCAGAAAAGGAAGCTAGGGGAAAGGAGGTTGTGTGTGAGGAGTAGTTGGGGCCTTGGGACAAGCCTGGGGCATCAAAACAGGATGCCTGTTCTGTGCATTTTTATGGAAGGTAGAAGGTGCTTCCTGAGAGTTTTTTTTTTTGGGGGGGGGCAGGTGGCTGGCAGGTAAGGGGATCCAAACCCTTGACTTTGGTGTTATCAACACCACCCTCTAACCAACTGAGCTAACTGGCCAGCCCAGGCCTAAGAGTTTTGATATTGGTGACAGAGATGTATATTTTGCTTTGGGTAGTGAAGGAAGGGGTTATAAGAGAAAGGCAGGGTAGGTGTTTATCAGGGGGAATGAGATTATGTAAATTGGGAAAGACTTTACTGGGCCGTCAGTCATGAGAAGCTCATGGTCCTAACCATCAGTGTACACTGTGAATGGGGAAGAAATAGAACTGTAGGTTTCAGTGCAGTGTACCCACAGGTGCTGATGATGTTCATAGACTGGAGTCCTTGGGGGCAGGGGCCATATCTTATTCATTGTAAAATGTTCACTAAGTTTGTAGAGATAGCTATAATGTTGGTGGCACTTGATGTACTTGAGACTTCAAAGTTACATACTTTTAAAATTACACTGATTTCTTCAAAAATAGAACAAAATGAAACAACAAATAGTATGGAAGTATACTACTATGTTTTAAATAACTATTGGTAAATTGGCTGTTTGCCACACAAATCATAAACAGTAATCATGTATGGATAGAGGTGGGAGCCAGTCCACAAATATCTGTTTAATTCATAATGTGGCTTAATTATGAGATTCAGATATATTGTATATTAAAGTAGCAACTGATCACCCAGTGTGAAGATAAGGGTACAGGTTACCTAAGGGAATTTGGTGCTGTGGATAGTTTGAAGACATACCATTAACATTTTGACTTCTAATTTTATTACACATTTTCATACTTTCCCTGAAATTCACCTGTTTGAAATTTGTCCCTTCAGAGAGATGGGGGAGCTTGAGAAATGGCATGAGGATGTTTGTGGTGTTCATTACTTAGTAATAAAAGAGGTGAAAGTTTAATATTTTGATTTGTTTTTAAGGTCGTAAAAATAGAATTGATTGTGAATATGTCTGCTGAGTCAAAAAGACCATATGGTCTGTTGGGATATCTTATTCATCCACATTTAACAAATACTTATTGAGCCCCTGCAATGAAAGGAAGAATAGCACACAGTTCTGCCTTAAAAAAAGTTATGGTCTAATATGATAAATGGGTGTGTAGGTGTTAGACAATTATGACATGATGCGAGAAATTGGTTGTAATGGCTGTAATCACCTAATATTAAAAGAACCCAGAGGACAGTCTAATTAACATGGGGGGAGAAGGGAGGTATGGGAGGATCCTGGAAGGTTTCTGAGAGGAAGTGCCACTTGAGCTGAGATTTCAAGAGCTTGATGGAATTTTGGTGAAAGGCCACTTCAGAGGGTAGAAGTACAAGAACAAAGGTAGGGTGATGTGTTTGAATGGGAACTGCAAGTAATGTGTCTAAGCATGGGATTTGGAAGGTAATAGCAGGTGCTCATGTGTAGTACTGAGGCAACTGGACTATTTATGCTGTAAATGGTGAGGAACCACTGAACAGTTCTTAAGCAGTGATGTGACAATTAGGTTTACATTTCAGAAAGTCATATTGGTGATGGTATCATACATCTGACACTTTATTTTTAAAAGTGCTTTTGCATTTATTGTACTTTTATCATATTAAAATATGAGACTATAGAATATTCATTTTCTATTTCTCAGGGTCAATGTGAGAATAAAATGACAAAATACAAGGAAAAGAGCTGTGTAACACCCATTTAATAAATGCCTTTTACATATGAAAAATGCAGATCTGCTGTTCTTAGCTACAGGATATTGTAAATTGGGTTTTTCATGTACCTGTAAAGGTACACGGTTTATCAGTGATAATGCTATTTTAAAATAAGGATTTTTGACATATCTGAATTCTTTGAAGTTGGAATTGAAGGATCAAAGCAGAGTTTGACTCTGGACTAGGCAAACTTGGATTTTAATTCTTCCTCTGTCACTAACTAGTATGTTTACTTGGACAGTTTACTGAACTTTTCTCAGCTCCAGTTTCTTTATCAAAAGGTCATGGTTCTGGTGATTAAACAAAATAGTGAATGCAGCATGTTTTGCAAACTCTTTGGCACATGGAAGATGGTCTATAAATGATAGTTTACTGATGGCCAGATGTTCCTCTAAGCGGTTAATTTCTTGTTTCATTTAGGTCTCCCAAATCCGTATGAAGTGGGTACTATCATTTTTTCTATTTTTCGGTTTGGAAATCTGCTGAGAGAGGGAGAGAAACTCCCCAAGGTCATAGGGCTAGGAAGTAGTAGAGCTAGGATCTGAATTCAGGCAGTTTTGACTCTAGAGGCCAAGCCCTTTACTGCTGTGCTTTTTCTGCTTTCCTGTGGCATACACTATTATTATTAGCATTTTGACCCAATATTTCCATTCCAAGAATGCAGGGGGCAAAGGCTGTTTTTCCACAACCCCAAATGCTGCTTCTGCTCATTTTGACTGTCTACTTAAATGGACAGTTAAAATCACTGAGTGTATACTGACTATATTCATAAAACTGGGTGCTACAAGGTGCCAGTCTCTGATAGACTCAGATTATGCCCTCAATGACCTTACTTGAGGAAGATAAGACAGTTTTGAGAGACCTATGTCTATACATGTGTGGTGTGTAAATGAAATGACTGATAGGGATCTAATTGCCAACCCTTTCATTTCAAGAAGGTGTCCCATATGATAATCTGCTTATTATTTCATGAACTGATATGCACATAAATGCACAATAAATTAAGTTGCAAGAAAACTCTAGGGATCCTCAGTTGGTTAGAATACAGCCTTGTAAAAATAGGCTAATTGCTGAGGAGGAGTTAAGGACTCCAATTCTACCTAAGTAAATTTTTTCAAGAGTATACAGTTTTCTTCAAGAGTAACTCATCCCCGTCTAAGAGTTAATGGAAAATGGTCTAGATTTCACAACACCCAGCACCGAAAAAGAAATTTTTAAAAAAACCGTCAAAGGCAAAATGTCAGTACATATGAAAGGAGGAAATAGGGAAGATGTGGACAAGCGCTGAAGTTGACATAGGTCAGATGGTTAGCAATGAGCGAGTTTATCTAATAATTATAGTATTAGTAGTAGCAGCCAATACTTATATAGTGCTTACTCTGTGCCAGAATTGTTCTAAACTGCATTTACTACCATAACTTTATGAGCTAGGCACTATTTTCATCTCCATTTCATTCATGGAGAGGCTCAGAGAGGATAAGTAACTTGCCCATGACACACAGTAATGAGCTAGGTAGGATTCCATCCAAGGCAATCTGATTTTAGTCATTAGTATTCAACACATCCATTTACATTCCTGCATACCAGTTCGTTCCTCCAGTGGACCCTTAAACTCACCCATTTTAGTATGTGATATATCAAATTTAAGGGAACTGTGCCTATTTTACTCAATTTAATGGGTACTAGTACTATGTGGAATGAA